TTTCCCACCAATATCCTACATGCATTTCTCTTCCCCCCCATCCAAGCTACATGCCCTGCCCACCTCATCCTCCTTGACTTGATCATTCTAATTATACTTGGAGAAGAGTAAAAGTTATGAAGCTCCTCATTATGCAGTTTTCTCCAACCTCCTGTCACTTTATCTCTCTTCAGTCCAACTATTCTACTCAACACCCCCAGTCTATAGCACACAAAATAAAATATTCAATGTCTGCTTGCTAGTCATTGCTCGGTAACGAATCTTACCTGGTTAACACTTCACAGCTTAATATTCAACTACTGAACTGCCTTCTGAATTTTATTATGAATGTATGAATTGAATTCATGAATGAACTTTTATAATATTATATTTCAGCATCCTGTTGCATTTATGTATCATTCTTATTATTCAAGTACACTGTCAATAATGTAACAATGATATAAAAGACACCTAAAATATATATTTTTTCACTAAAAGTGTAACTTTAATACTTTAAAGACACCTACAATATATATTTTTTGACTAAAAAAATATTTTAAATGTCACTGTTGCATTATTGATGGTGTACTTGAATAATAAGAATGATCTCTCTTATAGGTTCAGCAGGACCTAATAAAGCTACTGGTCCCCTGTATCCATTGTAGCGGAAATGCCTGGTGATCCCAAGATTCCTCGTATCCACAGAAACTTTTGCTGAATCTATGTTGACATGAGAATGAGTTCTAGCGATCCATTGCCTAGCAAATGGACTTCTGCTTATTCGTTGCTATTCCGGATTTTATGCGGTGTTTACCGAAACATTGCCTAGCAGACGATGGTTGGAGCATTTGATACAGACTCCCCTTGTACAAACCTTATGACATTATCCAACATTTTTAAATATGGATAATGTGCCCAAAAATACTTATGAACTAGATTTACTCAACCAACGTTTTCAACGTTAATCCTGGGACTCAAAGTTCCCCAATAATCTTTTTTTGACAAAATACTCATACTGTTTGGTTACCCACATCATTTTGTCTGTACTCTTTTATTAAAAATACATTCATAAAATATATAATTCCAAACGGAGTTTGGTTTATGTGTAATATTCATTTGCACATTGAAAATTTAGCACATATTTATAATGCTAGTCTCTGAAATTATATATGAAAACATTAAGACAACAACAAGGAATTTAGAGCAAAAATATTGCAAAACACCAGACTGGTAAGCTGCTATTTCTTTTCTGCCTTCGATCATATTCAGAGCAAGAATAATGCAAAATGATTAACTGATAATTTATCTTATTCTCTTCTGCCTTCAAATGTAGCCTACAAGCATGTTCTTAACTCTAGCAATTAAAAGTTCTACCAATATCTCCTCTTCCTACTGGGCAATTACATAAAATGAAATTTGATAATCTACCTCGTATCATCAAAGGCTGGAACCAAGTGGAAGGTTTTCAGGTCTTGATTTCAAGCCTTAGCCCACAGACCAGCATAATGATTAAGAATTTTGTGTTTATCCTCAGTTCATTCTGGCAACTTTGCCCCATATTAGGCCACCACCACTTCCTTCTACACATTTCCAATTTGTTAGTTACTTATCTTTTCTAGTCTTCTGTATGTGTAAATTCTTGTTATCTTATGCAGAAAATATACTTATATCTTAACATCATCTTTCTTCATACTAACCCAAAATATGGTCTAACTCTTAACAAAAGTATAATTTCATAAGACTCTAACCTGCTTGCACATTTGTTACAACACAAGTTTCACTTGAATATATGTACAAGAGTGGGAATTTCCATTATTTTATAAAATCTAATTTGGGTTTCCTTTCTTACTTTGTATTTGAAAACATTTCTTATATTTCTAGATGTTATTGTGTTTTATTGCTTATTCTTCTCTTTTCCAAACATTATCAAACAAAGTGTGAAATTTAGCAGCCAAATTTTCACTTTTATTTCTTTAGTGTTTCAAAAGTGCACATTCCTGTTATAATTAAATACTGATTTTGTGTGTTTATGGTAAACATTGTTCCTGAGTCTATCTGTATTCACTACAGTTTTCAGCAAACAAAATTTTTTGGTGTTCTAAATTCCCATGTTACTTTTATACATTTGATAAAAAATGAAATCCAATAAGTAGAATTCTATAGTGCTATGGAAAGTTGACTGGACCTGCAAACATGTTTCTTATGTCATTATTTCGTCATATTTTGTATTATTAATGCATTACTTCTAACATACCGGTATACATTAGAAACTCCATAGAGCAGGATCATTCTTGAGAAGCCAACAGTCACTCGGCTACACAAGAAATTCTCCACCTTTTATCAAACTTGGAAGTACATTACAGTATTTACAAGAGCCCACCACACGAATCCAGTCCCCAGAACCCACAGTACATCTTTAATCCTTTAAATGTGACACATGCCCTACACCGTAACGACTGTAACTGCCTACTGGTAGCGTCATGGCTGTTAGGGTGGAGCGACGAGTAAATGCCACTGCAACCAGCAACAACCAAAACTTAATACTGTGATATGCTCTACGACAGATGCAGGTATCAAAAGGGCCTGCCATTTCCTGTACCCAGTCTCAGAATGTTGCCACGATAAATATCAACCTTGATGCCATCTATGCCACACTACGTGATTAACTTCGAACCAATCTTTTTGGCTCTGGGAGTTTTAACACAAGAAAGTCTAGCCTCATCTCACCCAATCTTTGTGTACCAAAGATTCAGGCCCATTTTAATGATGTTTAACACTCATCTCTCCCAGGCCTGCTACTTGCCCTACCTTATCATTTTTTTTTTACTTTATGCCTCATAAAATATATGAAGGATACAATTTACTACTCATTATGCAATTCTCTGCCGCTCTGACCCTCAGCATCCTGCACTTAAAACGCCCTCAATCTATATTCTTCACTTAATGAGGGGCAAAAGATTGTGAACTGAACGGCAGTGAGAATTCCACACAACTTTACTTTGCTCTGGATTTTTCTATGAATACACTGTAGTACGTTTCAGGTACCATATATTACAATGCTGTTCTGTATTGTGGTCGATACATTAACATAGTTCTGTCTGAACTCGTCGCCCCTACTTCTGTACTTCATTTCATTTCTTTCTTCTGAATAATCTTCTGATGCCTCAGTATTACCACACATTCTTCACACGGTCCTTCAAGACTTAAATCTCTTTCTCCATTTTTTCAAAGAACACTATTTCTTTCCAGTTTCAATTCATATATATTTTTTAGTTATGTAACATTTACTTCCTTTATGAATTGCTTTAATTTTCTGACTGCTGCTACTATTGCTAATCTCTTCCAGTTCACTTTGTTTCATGACCTCTAGTTCTGAACTGTTTCTTTGAAGCAGGAATTTCATTTTTAATCATGTCATTATTTTCATTTCCCTCTCTTCCATACTTCTCTATCACTACAAGTCTACAACAATTTCTTGTAATCAAACCCTTTCTTCCTCAACAGATTTAGTTTCTTCTTCAAGAATTTTACTGTACTACAAAATTATACTTCCGAATTCCAACCACAAACATCAAAGCAGCCTCCGTAGTCTAGGGGTAATGTTTCCACCTCATGACTCAAGGTACACCGGTTCAAACGCGGCGGAGGTCATGGAATTTTTAAGGGCAGAAAAATTCAGGGAACAAGTCCTCCGGGAGGGACTTTAAGCCGTGGGTCCTGTGTCGTAGACTTACGGCATGTAAAAGATCCTCATGTCTCTATGTCTAGGAGACCTCTGAGCAAAATTAGGCAACAAGTTTCCCGCCCAAGTAGTTCCCAATGCCTTTGGTAGATGGGGGAAATATCAGGTATCGAGGACCGACCTCGTTGGCTGAACGGGGCTGATAGCACGCACCAGTACTGGTAGGGTATGGCGACAGCAGAAATTAAAGGGGGACACACAATTGACCAATACCTGGTCTAAGTGCATGGGGAAACCCAACCCCTCTAATAATAATAATAATAATAATAATAATAATAATACAACACAAACATCAAACTTGCTTGTCACTTTCTCCTGTACCAAATTTTATCTAAATTTAAAATACAGTCTCTTAGATGAGATGTGGAAAGACATCTGCCCTAATATGTCTTGTGCATTTCTTTTAAATAGCATATAAAAGCCACAGATAAGGCATGAAATTTAACTTCCTTGGATGCTCAATAGCTCTCCTTTTTCACATTATGATTCCGTATGTGCTTTGAGCAACATTTTCAGTTTTCCTGTGACAGCCTCTCAATCTGGCTGGAACTTTCCTGATTCCACAGGACTATGATTTAAAAGTATTATTAATAACTTCTTCATTTGCTTTCAATTACTGTCAATATCTGACTAGATATTTCTAACTTTCTTGAAAAGTTGTTATAACACAAAAGGTGAAGTAAATCATTTGTCATACACATGTCCTTTTTTAAAAGCCATTAGGACATAGGTTTCATACATTAGGATCACATACTCATTTTTCCTGAAATCACTACTCACAATAACTGAAGGAACAGTACACATAATGACATCTACTTTATGACAGATAAAGGAAAATTACAGCCTTTGGATGAAACTAAATATCCTTCACTAATGAAACCTTGAATTATGAACTGTAATTATAAGATACAGTCACCTCACAACATCCCACAAATCAATGAGCCACTCAGATGGACAATCCTGATGCTCCTATCCAGTCAGGTCACAGTGATTCAGGTTGCTAGAGGCCTAAATTCTAACAAATGACAAATAAACTTACCCAGATTAGAGGAGATGCTGGAAATGCTCCCTGTTGTTATGCACAAATTCCTGGCACCTTAGTAGGAAGCTTATATTCAAATGCTGAGGTGTTTATAGTATTGCATCCTGTCTGCAAAAAATTCGGGAATGATCAACATACACCATTGCAAAAACTTTACACTTTCAATTACTCGGTCAATTCCACAACATGTTCTGGTCACACAACTAGCACCAAATGGACATCACAGATAACGTTACATAAAAAACTATCAAGAATTCTTTATTGCAAGAAACAGCATGTAATGGTCTAGCCACTTTATAATTCATGACAGAACTTAACTGAATGTTACTACTGTACATTGCATTGTACTACATACACAACTTGTAAAAATGTTACTGTTTTGTAATTCACTGGAACGTTTATCATTACTTGGAGCACCGTCAGTAGCCACTCACAGCGCCACAACACCACTGCTCGGTCACTGCCCTGTCCTCTCTTTCATCTTCTCTCTGACCCTGCAGAACTAACTTGCGATTCACAACAGCATGCTCTGGTTCACACCTGGCTCCATGCATGTCTCAACTAAGAAGCCTCTTCTTGCCTTCTGCAGTCAACCAAGCCTGTCTTCTTAGGGCTTGTAGCCATGGTTATAAATATGTCTGAACTTCCAGAATCATATTGGTGCCAACAGAAAATTAAAAAGTGGCCCATAATGTATCACACTGCTGGGACAGTCTAGAAGGGGGAACCTCAATGTACCAGATGAAACACGAGGCACAAGTAGGCAAGCGAATTCCACCTCCACTCCTCATTCAGCTCCCATGACACACATTTTATACATTACCAGGATTTTAATTTTAAATTTAAAGTTTTGAACAGACTTAAATAATAACCTTTCCCATGTTATGTGATGCTTACAATTTTTTATAGTTTTCTATACCATGCTATTAGCAACATCCGTCAAAAACTGCGGTATGACTGAAGTACCTCATACACTTATTTAGTTTATTACCGAAATAAAGTTTGTGTAATGGGTGTATACTGATCATTTGAGCTGGTATTTTCAGAACAGTGTGGCCTTGAAACGTAAAACTCCAGTTCACTGTGCATAGCACATGACGGATTTTCAAGGAGAGTGTTCAACCCTATCACCAATTTCACCCACTTTCTCTTCAGCGAGCTCTTGACATTTCTATTAGTTTTTTCCTTCTTTCTTTCTTCAGTGCACTGTCAGTAAATGGCACCTCAACTTCACAGATAAGCACCATTACTATAACAATGAATTATACAATATTTTGTGGTAAACTAGGAAATAATGTATATGAAATGACATTTAAATGTACAATAAATGATCATGAAATGGCTTTATTTTAAATTCTTACCAGTTCCAATAATAATTGATAAATTGGGATAGCAACATTTTAAAATCCTTGCACTTATGTAAAAAAAAAAAAGCTACCCTACAAAAGGCATATCCGTTACAGCTCACTTTAAATGGCAATCCCCACTCCCACTAACAAATTTAATATACACTGCACAGATCTTATTAATTTTTCACCAACATAAGGTGAACGACCTTGTAAGCAGAGGGCAATGACATAAGCAGTCTTTTGAATAAACATAATCAAAACTGATGTGTAGCCTGTTTTAAATTTCTACAAACATATCTCATGATCGGTGGACCACCCGGTAACATTAAAAAACTTATGTCAACATGTACATACAAGCCAGTTCATTTGTAACATCTTACTCACCTTAACATGCCCTGAAAAACCACTGCACAGTATTATGTCACAAGATTCACATAACTTCATACTAGATGAAGTACCTTGTTACATGTAGTTTAACTTTCACAGCCATACGCAATTGAAAGTTCCCAACAATAACTAGAGTTAGGAAATTTAGTTTCAATCAGGAGGTTAAATTATTACAGACTGCAGGATCATCTTTACTCCATCAAAACAGGGTACTTGTTCACACGAAGATTGAAAATTAGAAGATGTTAGCATCAGCATAGAAAGTACACTTCTAACTCCCAGGTGGCGCAGCATCCTAAATGTGACAATGTTGTCATCTTGAAGGTTAAATAAGTTCAAAAACCACCATGTGTTCGCAACTTTAAGTCGGTGCTGATGAGAATTGTGGTACTCTTATCCTTGTGTTAAGTCATGTGAAAAGTTGCTGTGATCACATAAGGACATCACATTCTGAACACATGGTGAATGGAAGGGTTTTAACATGCATCATTATTCACTGAACTTGAATGCAGCTTTTTTCAAACAACTTGTTCAAAGTATTATTCATTTATGTTTATATACCATGTACTGGCAATATGTCCATCACATACTATTCATCCACAACAACGGCAATGCCTTTTGTATTCATTTGGTGTTATGACTGGTGCTCATTCTTCAAGCTGAGTCATGGATACCCAGGCGAAAGATGTCATGTTGGCAAAAGAAGGAATTGCCCAGTGGTTTCAGCACAAATACTTGCGAATATGCATGTGGGGGATCCTCATCAGCCTGCAACCAACAAAGAACATGGGTCTTAGACTTCAGCACAGTTACATACACATCCCTGTATATTTAATACATCACTTGTTTATTAACTTGACTCACACAAAATGAAATATTAGTTTATCTCAAAAAAAAACTACTTCTCAAGAAAACATAAGGCATATATCTGTTCCCAAATCAAGCACCTGGCAAAAGATGTGCCTTATAATTACAGTAAAAAGACAAAGACAAAGGTTATCATGAAAGGTAACACCACAAAGATGCACACAGTGCCTGAAGGCGCCACTCATTCCCTGCCTCAGCTTCTGATGGTGATGAGTGATCAATTCCATTATTCCAAACAGAAAGAACCCCTGATACTCCACTGGATAAAAAATTGCTATACAACCTACCAGTCAACTCTTTATTAGAAGAGTCATCAAACTTCTTACTTATATAGGGCATACTGAACCACAAGCATATTATATTTCAAGCACCATTAAACAGCTGTAGCCTCACTACTTTATCTATGTATCAATGCTTTGCATTAATTGCTTCAAAGAAACAAACATAATCTGACAAACAAATGATAAGCTGTGAAAATCAGCAATGCACATACACAGAGTGATTAGAAGTCCTTCGGCCAAACTTTAGGAGACTGTTCGAAGATAATATGGGGCAGAAAATGCAAGTATATTGTTGTTCAATTCATCACCATTGTCAGGTTATGTTTTTCCACTTCCTAAGTAAATGAAATAACTGTCCATTCATGTATGCAGTTAGTTACCATTTAACACCATTATTTATTAATTTTAATTACAATTAATTTAACCAAAGTTAATAACTTTTTGTTTGCATTCTTCATTGCATTTAACACAAATGTATGATCATGTAGTGAGAACTAACAAATAGTTCTAAGAAAACATCAAGTGAGATCAGATCAGGAGAGAACTGACAACTGGACCATATAGCTGATTCATACACCAATTACATGCTTGGTGTGAAAACTGAAGGGAGCTACTGTCATGAACATTTAGAGGGTACATCCTCCAGTAAGAAGGTAAGTGTTCTTTCAAAGAAATCAACATACTGTGCTTCACAAAAATGATTCACTCTCATGTATGGTCTAGTTAAGTGTCTTCAAGATTCAAGCACAAATGTTGATGCTAATTTTTGCTTAATTTAAGGGCGTCAAGTAACATGAGGATTCTCCAGAGACTATTCATGTAGGTTGCGGAGAACATTTAAGCTACTCCTTGAAAATATTGCCTTATAAGTCAACAATACATGGTGCAAAAGGCAGGTTCATTGGAGTTGTGTAGAAACCACTGATAGAACTGGAGGCAAAGATTACTGTTCCCTGGCTGCAGCCCTTGCACAAACTGTACTTGAACAGGATATAATTGTTCCTCATGCAGTTTATGCCAAATGGACTCTAGGAAAGGCCCATTTCATGTGTGATCCAAGTGCTAGCTTACAGATTAGAATATATAACATCTAACATTTCCTCTCCATTTTGAAACCCTCATCTGCCATGGCCAGGATGTATTGGTGGCATGAATACATCTGCTTCCCTCAGACTGTGGTGTTCCATTTTGAACACATGTCTGTTGAGTTGCTTATAATACTGACGATACAGGTATTCCCCCCAGAAGCTCTAGCTATTTCCATCATAAAAGATGCACATAAAATGCAGATTCCCATACTATGCATTAGTAAACTGAACCACCTTATTTCACTGTTATCACTATTCTGCTGTCAGTCATAAACAATGCATTATGTGCTCTGTCTTGAAATATTATAAAGAATCCACAACAAAAATACAGCAGAAATCAAGATTAGAATTTTGAAATGCAGTAACTTTGAAACAGTGGTGAATTAGACAACTACTGTTTTTACATTTTTGCTCTAAATTACTTCCTCAACAACCTTCTAAAGCATGGCCATAGGTTCTTGAATCACCCTGTATACGAGTATGTACCTTTACAGTGAAACAAAATGTGCCACATAAAGCTTGAGCAAATGTAAAAAAAAACAAAAGTTACAGAGAACAGCACTGCATGTTAAATTAAAGAGATATTACAATAATATAAATGCAAAAGTGATGGCAGAAAAATTATGAAGATGAAGAATAATAGGTAGCTTTCATAATGGCATGGTGTTTCACAGTAACCAAGCACATACTGGAACATCTAACTAATTCCTTCAGTGAACCAGTTCACAAAACAGAATGTCTGTCATGCAAGTTGGATGGCACCAAACTAGAATAAACTTTCCAATATGAGCTAGCACAGGCATCAATGAACACAAGCTGCAGTGACAGGTGCCATTATGATGTACCATTATACCAATATTATACGAGGGGCTTTCAAGTTCTAAGGTCTCCGATTTTTTTTCTCAGGACTGGGAGCAGATAGACATATGTGATTTAGTTTAAAATATGTGTGCACTCTTTGTGAATGCGTGACAGAGATGGCAGCACTGTACGGCACACAGAACTCTCGTGGTGGCAGCAAGAGTGAGGAGTGATTTTGATACCTAAAATGGCGACGTTTTTGTTACAAGAACAGCGAGTAATCATTCGTTTTCTCCACTTGCGTGGTGCGGCACCCATTCAAATTCATCGCCAGTTGAGTGAGACATGTGGTGATGGTGTCATGAATGTGAAAAATGTGCGTTTGTGGGTGCGACAGTTCAAAGAAGGCTGAACGTCATGTGACAACGAACCAAAACAATCTCAGCCTCGCACTAGCAGGTCTGACAACATGGTCAAACGAGTTGAGAAAGTTGTTTTGGAGGATCACCGATTGAGTGGGTCGCCTCCAAAGTTGGCATTTCCGTGCGATCTGTGCACACAATCCTGCATGAAGACCTGTGAATGCGGAAAGTGTCCTCCAGGTGGGTGCCACAAATGCTGGTGGACGACCACAAGGCTGCGTGCATGGCAATTTGTCAGGCGATGTTGATACATGATGAAGACATGAATGGGATTTTCTTTTCGTCAATTGTGACAATGGATGAGACATGGATGCCGTTTTTCAATCCTGAAACGAAGCACCAGTCAGCTCAATGGAAGCACACAGACTCACTGCAACCAAAAAAATTTCAGGTAAGCGCCAGTGCTGAAAAAATTAGGGTGGCCATGTTTAGGGACAGCCATGGCATAATCCTTACTCACTGCGTTCCAAAGGGCACTACGGTGACAGGTGCATCCTACCAAGATGATTTGAAGAACAAGCTCCTTCCAGCACTGCGAGAAAAACGGTCGGAAAAGGCCGCACGTGTGCTCTTTCACCAGGACAATACACCAGTGCATCGGACGTACGCGACGCAGCAGTTTCTTTGTGAAAACAACCTTGAAGTGGTTTCTCATGCTCCCTACTCACCTGATGTGGCTCCTAGCGATATTTGGCTTTCCCCAACGATGAAAGACACACTCCGTGGTCGCACATTCACCAGTTGTGCCGCTATTGCATCAGCAATTTTCCAGTGGTCAAAACAGACTCCTACAGAAGCGTTCGCAGCAGCCATGGAATCATGGTGTCGACGTTGTGAAAAATGTGTACAGAAGCAGGGAGATTACGTTGAAAAGTGACAGAAGTTTCAAATTTTTTGTATGATTATTGTGTGAGAAGAAAAATCGGAGACCTTAGAACTTGAACACACCATTTACTGGACATTGTCCATGGTCTAAGGGATATTTGAAAGACACAGCATCTGGGAGTTTGCTCTATTCTGTCATCTGGAGATAATTCCTGAAGGATCATGCATATCAAATGTATCTCACACAATGGGCAATGTCTGAGGTAATAGTGATATAATGAATCAACCATTATCATAAACTTTCAGACTCACTGACTACATAGCAAACAAAACAAAACACACACAAGACCACAAGATATGAAGTTATCTTGCCTACCATGAGGTAATGTGTATGTTGATGAGGTAACAATTTATCTAGACACTGTCGTGTAATGCAAGTCGGAAGAGATCATGCTGCACATAAAAACTGGTCCCTATTGGCTTCAGCACAAAGGTCTGGATATAGGCGTGTGGCGGATCCTCATCCGTCTGGAGAACAAGTTATTAACATTGGCTTGCTTATTCAAGAACCATTCCATTAGTCTTAGTAACTCATCATAGACAGGGCAGTTCTTAACTTTGTTGGCCGGTTCACAGCTCTGTGCTTCAAGGCGACCAGTGCACTGTTGGTTGCAAAGCACATATAAATTCTGCTGATGAATCAATATGTATGTTGGCTGATAATGTTCGGAATGACGTAGTTACAATTCACAGATCATAGAAGTGTTGAAAATGCTGTCCCTTTACATGTCGACATTCTTCACACTGGCAGAAGAGGTTCTGATTTACCCTCTGAAGTTGATCTGAAGGAATATTTGCAATTTTCCTACAAATACTTCCTTTCAGTTCTTCCATTCATGGCTTACTGTTGTAAACTCTGTCCTTCAAACAACCCCAGATGAAAAATCACAAGGATTATGATTCGACGAAAGTGCTGGCCAAATACCACTGCTGATAATTCTGTCCCCGAACACATAGGACAAAGCCTACATAAACATATGTACAGCAGCAGCTGAGTCTTGCTGAAACCATTCATAGTCTTCCTTTTTCTTTTAACTCTGGAAAGAATTTCCTGAGGAAGATCTATATATATATTTCACAATTAACTATTTCACTAAAAAACACAGGCTAAACAATCCTTCTTTCACTTACAGCACACCAGACACAACTTTCAATGGATGGAGTGGAACTTCATGGGTTAATGTGGATCCTGTGAACTCTAGTAGTGATTATTTTGCATATTATGTATCCCTGCAAGTGAAACCACGCTTCATCAGAAAAGAATGTCAACTGCGGAGCAATCTCACTTTCAACAAAAGACTGTAGAAACCAACTGCAAAAATGAACCCCGCTGGTGGGATCATGCATCTGCAAGAAGTGGATTACTCTTGTTTTATAGGATCCAAGTTTCAGCAATTGCGTTGTTGCACTTCTTGCACTAGACTTTGTCATTCCAGTCTCTTGAACTAGACATTTCAGTAATTTTCCAGGTGTATGTCCAAGTCTGGCTCCTATCTCATCTAATGTTTCCTCAGTAAGCATTCAGCATTTATGTTTTTATTTCTTGTCTATAAGAGTCCCGCTGATCTAAGTTTATTTGCCTGCTGGGAACTCTTTCATCACGAAATTACGTTGAAACTCTCGCCACCACTTTCTAGAAGATCCATATTTCGCATTGGTGTCATACAGAAATACATGTTGTTCTAAAGTATACCACACTATGATGAACACACTCCTCACTAATTGTAACTGAGAACAAAGAGCTAATGGAGCTAACTGCTGGCCACTGCTTTCAAATCATAAACAAATTCCCACACATGAACCACACTGTTTGCTGTGAAACATAGTGCTGTCAAGTGGTCCACAAAGTTAATAATTTCCCTCAATTCCAAATGCTATCAGCCATCGGGCATAATGATTCATCAGCAAAATTCACATGTGCCTTGCAGCCAGTGGTGCACTGGTCACCGTGAAGCGCAGAGTCATGAACCAGTCAACAAAGGTAAGAATCTCCCTGTATATTCTAAACAAGTCTGTCTTCAAAGTACTTATTTATTAATGACTAGCGTAATATCAATCATACTAATTACACATCACTACCTGTAGTCTTCCAAGAACATTTATAAGAATTCCTCCATCGAACATTGGTTGAGAATCGACAGCTGTAATGACTCTATTTATTTTTTGGAAACTTAGACTCTGAAAAGAGAAAAAATAAGAGACAACATTTACATATGTTCCCCTACTTACCAGTAAATATAACGACATTGGGCATTACAGGTTGTCATGTTGCCTTCTATACAAATTCCATTGCAAAGTTTATTGTAAATTATGAACAGAGAGAGTGAAAAAGAGTGCGTGTGTGTGTGTGTGGGCGTGCGCTTGTATGAGCGTGTGTTAAAACTATGCCAGTTTCTCCCAGTTCATCCCAGGATACTCGTATTTTATGTAGGCCTTCTGCAGCCAAGTGGAAATTGGACATACTTTTCTACAAATAGCTTTATCTTCCCTTGTCTACCAATGCTCCATAATCAGCTATCACCCTGGAAGTGTGTGCTTGCATAACCAGCCATATTATTATCACAACAGAAGTTACAAGAGAAATTAATACTTAATCCCTGATCCAGCACTTGTAACGAACTACATTAGATATACTGAAACTATGCTGGTAGGCATAATAAAATCTGCATTAAGAGAAACATTTGCAAATTAAAATGTAGTTTTTATAAGTGAAGCTGCAAAATGTTAACTCCATAACATCATAATGTTGTTAAGTTCATTTATAAGATTTCACTGTATGCAACAGCAGAGTGACTAGTTAAGTCATGGGACAATACACAATATTTTCATAAATCATGACTTTCAAAAGAAGCTAAAACTATTTTCATTACATTTTAATTACTGATAAGAGTGAAATCACAGTACTATTTAGGCACAAATTAAAATCTAAACTTCATCTGAGACCAACCAAGGGCCCAGTTAGATGTGAAGCCTCATCAGACCACCAAGGCTTAATACTGTAAAGTGCTGGTTGATCTGGAATATTTCAGGAGTAATGATAAACGACTACCAAACATTGCTGAAGTAATGAGTTGTCTGAAAAAGCCGAAGTATCAGAGACAAACTCGTTACTTTTTCCACCACAGATCCCACACAGACAGGACTGAAAGCAGGTATCCACAACAAGAAGTCAAGAGGTCTTATAAATCATGTTAAGTCTGTGATACCTTTTTACAGTAATCAATAATGAAGTTCTCTTTAAGCACAGAGAGCTGGTGCCACATGCAGGTGAAACCCCTGCACTGTTGCCTTTACATGCTGTAAACTATCACTTTGCTGTCACAGACAGCATATTTCTACTTCAGCTACAGATTCTATATATTTTAGAAGTAAATTAATCAAAATACAACAGATAAAAATTTATCTCAAAATCTCCAAATTACTCTATCATACATAAAATATCATACTTCGATGAAACTACCAAATTTATTATGGTGGTCTTTCCTACTGTGGCATTAAAATAATAGTGTCATCTTAAATCGTGTAAAAGACAAATGTTCAACTACCATACAATGTTTTATTACATGCTGTAAATGTTTACAGGACTGAAAGTGCACTAGCAGAGGCTACTGTTAGTATCTCCTGGCACAGTACTTCAAATTAAAGCTAGTATTGAGGCAGTTCCCCACCAATGGTATCTCCACCTTATTGTGGTGGTGGGGTTTGAGAGCTCCTGAGAACCTGAGAGCTATGCCAGCGGTAGCGTAGTTACTGGTAGGGCCACCCATGCCAGACAGGTCAAGGGGTAGGAGCCAGACAGAAAGGGATACCCTGGTCCTCCAGGTTGGGGGTTGGGCGTGAGGCCAACAACCTCACACTGTAAAAACTAAACTGTTCAGAAATCTGAGGAAAGAGTAGCTGGACGGACCTATTCAAGACGACCTGGAAAATGTTTAAAGGATGTGAGAATTGGATCTTGGAATGTATTATCTCTTTACAGAGCCCAAGCAGTAAAAATGCTACTGGAACAACGTGATAGCTATAAACCAGATATCACTGCTATGCAAGAACTGAGGTGGTTGGGTAAAGGAGTCATGGAAAAGAGGGATCATGTTGTACTCTATAGCTGTCAGAAGAAGAGTCACGTGTTTGGAACAGGTTTTATTGTTAATAAAAAAAGGAAGCATCTTATTTTAGACTTCCAGGCAAAATCTCGCAGAACATGTAGGCTACGAATTAAGGGAAAGTATTTTTAACTATAGCCTTATTTGCACACATGCCCCAACTGAAGATAAAAGTGATGAGGAGAAAGACTCCTTTTATGGTGAATTGGATGAAATATATGGCAAATGTCCAAAAAGGGATTGTAAAATAATCATAGGGGACATGAATGCCAAAGTGGGCAATGACTTATGTATATAGACCATAGACCAGAATCAAAGAAATTTTGAAGCTGAAGAGCCAGTGAAAACCATAAAAGAAGTAGAACAAGCTATTAAAAAATTGAAAACTAATAAAGCTCCAGGAATGGATCTCATCACGGCAGAATTAATGACATTTGCAGGCCCAGAATATGCTAAGCACTTACATCAGCTAATAGTTAAGATATGGATAACTGAAATAATCCCAGAGGAATGAAACCTAAGTATTGTGTGCCCTATCGATACGAAAGGCGATGTCATGGTATGCTCTAACTATAGAGGAATTAGTCTGCTGTGCATAGCATATAAAATATTTTCCAGCATTCTATTTAACAGACTCTCTCCCTTTGTGGAAGGCATAATTGGTGATTACCAATGTGGGTTTCATTAAGGAAGATCAACTAACGATCAGATTTTCACTATTCGCCAGGTCCTTGAAAAGTGTAATGAATTCCAAATTGAAACACATCATCTTTTCATTGTCTTCCAATCAGTCTATGACTCCATAGATAGTGATAGTCTTTTTCTGGCAATGGAAGAGATGCACATTCCACGGAAGTTAATCGCCTTAGTCAGAGCCACTATGAGAAAGACCCAATGCCAAATTAAGATTCAAAATATGTTGTCCAGCCCTACAATAACTAGAAATGGAGTTCAACAAGGGGATTCTAGCCTGCCTTTTGTTCAATATAGCATTAGAGAAGGTACTTAGAGATGCAGGCATCAAAACAAGGGGAACTATATTCTATAAGTCAGTTAAAATTTTGGCATTTGCAGACGATATTGATATAATTGGTAGAACACAAAAATCTATGAAAGAAGCTTTTCTTAAATTGGAAAGAGCAGCAAAAAAGATGAATCTACAAATTAACCAAAATAGAACAAAGTACATGCTGGTAACCAAGAAAGACTGTGCTAATGGACCTGCATATATTGAAATTGGCTCATATAAATTTCAGGTTGTATGTAGTTTTACTTACCTTGGATCAGAAGTTAACTATAAAAATGACATCAGTGATGAAATAAAAAAGTGTGTACTTGCGGCAAATAAATGTCTCCATGGCCTTAAGAAACACCTGAAATCCCAACTAATACCCAGGAAAACCAAAACTATGATGTATACAGTACTTATAACATCAGTGCTATCTTATGCCTCTGAGATCTGGCCACTGTCAAGATTGGATGAAAGACTGTTAAGTATATTTGAAAGGAGGATCTTGATATATATCTTTGGACCAGTGGAAGTAAATGGAATATAGAGGAAGAGGTATAATCATGAGCTATACAAACTGTTTAATGAACCAGACATTATTGGATTTATAAAGGTGAAAAGGCTTGAATGGGCTGGACACATAATACATGCCAGCGAGACAGAACGATTAAGAAAATACTTAATACTAAACCAGAAGGAAATAGGAAAGTGGGAAGACCAAGATTGAGATGGGAAAAATGTGTGTGGCAGGACATAAGAATTTTGGGTGTAAAGAACTGGAGGAATGTAGCATCGAATGGAGAAGAATGGCAATCAATCCTGAGGAAGGCCAGGGCTAATAAAGGGCTGTTGTGCCAGTGACGATGATTGAGGCAGTTTGTTTGAAAAGTACAGTGAACTCTCGATTATCCGGGGGCCAATTAACCGGGGATACTGAGGTTTTTTTGAGGCTTATATGTTGTTTAATATTCATTCACTTTTGTTTCACATGGTGAGCTGGAACACTATTTTCGCACTAGTGTGCATTCTTTGGTCCCGTTATGCTAATACAATGTTCTAAGGTGGGGGTGAAAGAATGCAAGGATTTGTGGAAAGTTTCAAGGAGAGATACATCACCCCAGTTAGTCTCTTTGTATCGATCTTTAAGTGCGTTAGCAAAATGTCAGGGTGTAAAAGGAAACGTGTTGTGTTAAGTATTCAACAGAAACTTGAAATTATCAATCAGTTGGGAAAAAGAAGTGTAGTTAAACAATTAGCAATGCAATACAGTATTGGAGAACAAACTGTTCGAGATTTGAAAAAAGAAAAGTGAGAATGAGGAAGAGGTGGACAGTTCTGCTCTTAATCATTTGGAATCCTTACTAGACTATCTTGAGAGTGAAGAGAACAGTTTATTAAGTGACAAGCTAATATTATGTAGGCTTCGTACGGATATCCGTAAAGAGGAAAATGCCGCGAAAAAGCAAACAACAATATTAAATTTTTTAAGTGTTAAGTGTTGGATGTTGTTGAGCACTGTGATTGAAATAACTAATTCATACTTCAGTGTAACGTAAAAAAAGTATTAAATAGGCCATGAGATGACATAAAAATGAGGTTGAATAAATTTAAATACAGGTAGGCCTATAGTATTATGAAGGTACAGTATTACAGTACTACTTTTAATAAAATTTGTCTTAACCAGGTTTTCGATTAATCGTGATTTCCATCCCCACCATTATCCCGGATAATCGAGAGTTGAGTGTACTAACAAATAATAGTGAGAGGGTGGGTGTAGTGGTAACACTCCGAATTTGACTTTGAGCAGTACCTGTTTCAAATCTTGTGCATGTCACCAGCTAGCCTGAGGGTCTCTATGGTTTTCCTCAGTCCCTGTAGGAAAATGTTAGGATTATACCTGTTTAGGCAATGCCTAGTTCCTTCCAAATCCTTACGAATGAGTTATTTAATTGTGATCCTACCATTCAACGCTATAGAGTCTAAGACACTAACAGTAACAAATCCCCCCAAAAAGACGAACTAACAAACAGCAGATCATGTACAAGGAAATCTCAGTAGTGGTTGTCTGTATGCCAATGACGAAAATGTGGGCCTACCGAACAATCACCAACAACCCCTGCCCACACATTAATGCTGAACTGCTGCTGGTGTCTATACAATGGATTACACCAAGAGGATCCTCCTCTAATCACTGGTGCTGATTGTGAATACTGATAACACTACAACTATCACAGAATCTTTAAACTGATGATGAGATGTTGCAAGGCATGCAATGAATCTCATGAAAGACATTTTGAGCACTTATTACAAAAGTACTCACTCTTTCAGCTATAACTCACAAATTCAGGCACATGCTGATATGGACATTTTTCTTGTTTTGGTATGCAAACTCATGCCCAAAGTTTGTCTGCATCTTTCAGTTACACCCTCTACAACATTAACATTGACTGTACACATGACAGAAAGTTATTCAATGAGAAAAAGACGTCCTTAGAAAAAAATAACATCCCATTAGTAGTGAAGGTGGTATGAAGGTCATACTCATAATATTTCCCTAAAATGTATAATCTGATACAGGAAAAATTAAACATAACAAATGTTCCTGTGATACAACACAGACTGCACAGAAAATGAAGCATCCAACAATTCTTCTATTGTTGCGTGTGTGCATGTTGCTGCAATATCATTTTTACCTAGCCACTGTCTAGCAATGATAGCGAGATACACATACAGACACACAGACTGACAGGAGGGATATATGAAGTAGGCCACTGAGATGGGCTCAGGTGCCATGACATACACACCAAGTATCATAAGCACTGGTTCAGGCATTCAAAACTTAATGGGGGAACACATAGACAACATGGCAACTACATAAGCTTATTATTTTTTCAAGATAACGAAAGTACGCCAAAAATCTAGAACATATTTCAAAGAACATGTAATGCAATAATTTAAATTATGTGAATGAAATCTGTTTATCGACTTCCGAATCTTAAGCACTTCTCAAAGGTCAATTTCACAAAAGTACGCTCAAGTCACTCCTTCATATTACTTGGTGCTATGTTACATATATGCTGAAATGACATATTCAGTTTCATATCATTCCTTTCTTTTCTACTTACAGTTAGTTTCTCCATAATTTTTACAGCCCCTTGTATTTGAAGTCCTTCAAATGTCATGAATGAACTTTCAGTCTGAAAAGTAAATGCATTACTATTTCAACTCAGACATACTAAACTTAATCAATTATATTAAAAATAAAGTTAGACAATGGGTTCTGGTAAACAGCAACACAAACTGACTATCTACATTTCTTATACATAAAACTGTTAAGATAGAAAAAGGTCGGTTCTATTCAGTACAGCATGAGCAACTTTCTGGGATAAATGAGTAATCTTTTGGTTCTTCCTTGTATTAAGACCCCAAATGTATGGAACACAATGCACAAGAAGTTGGGTTCTCATATTGCAAACAGCATCCACCTATGTCAGTTTACCTCCTGTTCTAAGGGCATTCATATATATGCACCAGAATAATTCAGTTACAGTTGATGGAGACTAACTGTAGGAATGAAAAAAATACGTTCACTAATTCAGTGTAAAATTACAATCAATTACAAATACAATTTCTGTAATTTTACACTCGTATTTAATACAGCATCATCTCTAAAAATAATTGTGCACTTGAGGCAATAAACAATAAGTAAATAATGAGGGGGAACCACTCATGGAGCTGAGTCCTTCTTGAGAAGTCATCACTTGTGCAGTCACTCAAGAACTTCCCAGCATTTTGTGGAACCTGAAGATTCATTACCATGTTCACAGAAGCCCACCACTGGTACCCATCCTGAGCCACATCAATCCAATCCATACCATCTCATTCTTTCTCTCTAAGATCCATTTTAATAGTATCCACCTATGTATATCTTGGTCTTCGTAGTGGTCTCTTTGCTTCTGATCTTCCCATCAATATCCTATATGCATTCCTCTTCTACCCCTTCAAGCTACATGTCCTGCCAATCTCATCCTCCTTGACTTGATCATTCTAATTATATTTTGTGAAGTGTACAATTTATGAAGCTCCTCATTATGAAGTTTTCTACAACCTCCAGTCACTTCATCTCTCTTTGGTCCAAATATTCTCAACGTCCTGTTCTCAAACACCATCAGTCTATGGCCCTTCCTTAATGTCAGAGACCAAGTTTCACACCCATACAGAACCACAGGCAAAATTATACTTTCATATATTCTACTGTTTATGTTTCTAGACAGCAGACAGGACAAAGGGTTCTGGACTGAATGGTAGAAAGCATTATCTGAATTCAATCTTCCTTTAATTTCCTCCCGAATAAGGTATTGATTTGTTATAATCATTTCCAAATATCTGAACTGTGCCACATTTTCAAAACATCTGTTACCTATCTTCATGTCATGATTTTGCCCTTCCTTCTGGCAATGAGACAGCAACATATACTCAGTCTCCTCCGGGTTTACCGTTAGACCAACTTCCTTACCAGCGTCAATTAAAGTCTGTGTTTTTCTTCACGGTATCTATATTATCACCCAGTAGATTCACATCATCAGTACAGAACAACATCTGATGTGTCTCATTTAATTTCAGTCCCACCTGGTTTTCCTGGACCTTCTTAATGGCATATTCTAAAGCAAAGTTTGAAAATCAGTGGAGATAAAGCATCTCCTTGTTTCAGACCACTCTAGATAGGGAAATTATCAGACAAATGTTTACCTGTAGCAGGGCCGAAAATGATCTGATCTTAATATTAGTTGTGTTGTGACGGATATAATAAAGAGGTTGTATACTGTAACACAAGATGCGTGAAATGAAAAAAAAAATTTATGGATGTTATGATGCGGGGACATTGTACTTTTGACAGTTAGATTTTTTGATGTGGCAAAGTTTACAACTCTAACTCCATTATCATTACTAATTTCATGCAAACTCTCATTCCCAGTTGTTGGTTTGAAAATGTCTTCCCTCCCTACTTTGGCACTAAAATCTATTAAATTTTCATGTGGTATTTAGGGAATTTATTGAATACGTGTTCCATTTCTATTCTACAGGGAATAATGAGGAAATAAATAAGAAAGAGTAGACTGCACTAAAAATCCATTCTTTTTCACATTCCGTGTCAAGTATTCAGCTTGTATGGTTCTGATACAACTGTATCTAACAAAATGACTGTGAATTCCTTTCAACTGATGAATCTGATTCTGCTAATGAATGTACCTGCAAGAATATGCACTGATAAGGTACTTATAAAGAGTCTGCATTGAAAAGTGACCTAATAAAAATAATGAAGTTTCAGAATTATGAAGTTGGAACCTAAATTGTGTACAACAGCAATTTCACATTTTTGGCATTCTTTCCTTGCAACAGGCCAAACAGATTCTGTAGCTAATGACTGACAGTTTTTACTGCTGAACACTTTGCGGACCACGCACCCTTTAAAAGGTTTTTCGCTTTTAAACATGGCGGACCGTTCGCCTGTTAACAGGTTTTTTAAAACATGATAAGTTGCAACACACTATACATATCACAGTCTGATATACAGGGGGGTTATTTGAGATTCTACAGCAAGTTGTTCAGCCTTTGGAAATTCCATGAGCTACTCATGGCAGATTAGTTTGCGCACATTCAGAACTGTACTGTGGCCAACAAACCAAATGTGTATACACATTATTAGTTATCTTTAATTTCACTCCAATAAACCACTGAACAGCTAGTGAGCTTACAGATCATAAGCGAGCCTACTCTCAAAACCAGAGCTACCTGTTACCAATGTTACATTTTTAAGTTGGTTATTTAACAATGCTGTCAGTATCGTGACAATATAGCATCATAAGATTATTGGATGCGAACCGGCTGATGGAAAGACTTGGCAAGTGAAACGTTCTTGGAGAAAACCAGCCCCAATGCCACTTTTTCCACCATAGATTCTACATAACTGGACCATGGATCAAATTTGAGCAGCTACAGTGTGTCACTAGTATATCTGATCTATGCCATAACCAGTCATGATTCAGTTACTTCGTGTACCAAAATTCCACATGTAAGCCACACGCTGAACTAACAAATGTTCATGTATGATACCAATGTGAAATGGGGTTGTACAAGAAAGTAACAAGAACATTCCAGCTTAAATTTTAGGATGTCAGAGTTCCATACAAAAGAGCTTTCCATGAAAATGTATATAAATACTGGCAGGGTCTTTACATACTAGATATTAATACTTAATTGTAAATAAGTGTACATAGTGACAATGGTCTAATACTATCGACCATGACTGACAAATGACAGACCAGACCTCTCATCAGAGAGGGCGCCCCACATGGACAGGACAGTAACTTTCATCTAAAATTAAACATCTGGTCATAAGACAGACAGACTGACTGACCGTCATTCGCAATGCGACTTTGACCAACTGTACCAATATGAGCCACACCAAAATTCTTGAGTGTTCATTTAAGAGAAGGTAGATGAAATCAGCACCAGGCTTGAACATTCTCCCTGAAAATCCCTGATGCCTAGCACAGGAGATCAGGGCTTCAAAATCATTACAACAAAGGGAAGTTTACTCTATTTCTCAGGGAGAATGTCAAAACACAAACATAATTTTGACAGAGCTGCCAGAAATACACATAGAGTAATAGAGAGCATTTCCAGCATCTACTGCAATCCAGGTCAGTTTTACTGTATAATTTACTGGTTTACCAACATCACAATGCTCAAGCAGATCTGACTTGAGCAGTGCATGACACTTTTGCCTGAATGACTGACTGATTTACAGAAGGCTCTCAAATAAGCTACCTGAATTGAAATACTTTCAAATGGCTTGCTACATATCTATTTTCAATTTCTTTGGCACACTTGAAAGTTTATGTAAATTGTGTAATAACTTGAACTGTATGATACATTTACTTGTCTGTCCATTGTTAACTGTTATTTGTTAAAGCATAAGTTCCCCAAGTCAATACACCAAATGACAAATCATGCTAATGTTTCTAACTATTTTGGTTCATATGAGGCTTGGAACTTAGTAACAGAACATAGACAGCCTAGATAGCAACACAGTGACATCATGTGAACATATCTGCAGACAGCTGAGGAATGGGACCTAAGTGATGGATAAAAAAGGGAGGAGAATAGGAGGTAGCCCTAATTTTTCCCATCTGCATCTTGCAGGAAGTCCTGCAAATAAAGCATGCAAAAAAAACCCTGAACTTGGCATTACAACTCTCATACAGCATGGCACACCTTACCAGTACTACCCTAATACCATTACTCTGCACACTAATATGATGTTCTCAATAATTGCATCTGCTTTCACAAAACTGTAAATGTAATTTTTATGACAAGTAGCTGTCTGACTTAATTTTCATAGCAATATTTGTGTTGATTCGTCATACTGGAAACAAAGTATGCCATATTTTATTCTAAAATACTACCTGCAAATTTGCATTGCTGATGAATCTTGAACAGTAGCCTTATTTAGCAGTATCCAAGATTTTGCCAGACTACAACATTTTACCAATGATTGCATTTTATTTATCATATTAACTTCATATGAATGCAGAACATAACCCGCAACAGATCTCAATCGCACTTTTGAACTTCATGAAACAAAACGTACCCCATGCATTCATAACTTACACTGTATTTCGGTTTGCAGTTTCCAGTACTATGGACATCTAAATATACAACTTATGCGAGAAATCGTCTATAAACACAAGCTTCGTCAAAGAAGTCACAACAATTTTAATGTGTTATGCCTGTTGATGAAACAGACTTCCAAATTTATACTTAATATTAAACGTAGGAAAGATAGCCTTCAAAATATTAAGTATTACATACACAAATACAAATATCTTATCTTTGTATTCACAGCTATCCTACTGTTTCAATAATTTACACTAATACACATGCTGAAAAATTATTAATCACTTCTCAGGATGAAGATGATTCTTCACATTTGAAAGGCAGACGAGCCATGTGCTGTTAAGAGATCTTCCATTATACAAATTTTATGGTTATGGTTGGCATATGTTACTCTTTTAACCCCATATTCATCGAGCTGACTTACAATATACAAAATTTTATTACCGTTCATGCACTTTACCAATATATTGTATCTTCACTTACATTATACATATTTATTAAATTTGGTCGCTGGACAGGGTCGTCGAAGATTGTATAGTATTGCTGAACAAAGCCTTTCCCGATGGCTTCATATGCTGGATTTAGAGTCATTCTATAATACGATTCAGTTCTGCTAACTCAGGACTAATTATTTATATATGAAATATACCCTCAATTATTTCTCTCCCGAACACGTCTCTAGATTTTAATCCTTCCCAGCACTGCACTCAAACGAAAATTCCCATAAACGCGTGGGCCATTAGATGGCAGCATGGACTAACGGAAGCTAACTTTCCGATTAGTGACATCACGCAAGGATTAACAAGTTCACAGATTCACACTACGATGTCAATGTTAGAACATCTGTGACTAGGGCGGGTTAAGTACATGAATACTGAAAGTCAGGGTTCAGCAGAAAATTAAAATACATACAAACTAGAACGAATTAAAATATCGAACGATTCATTCAAGCTCGAACAGTTTAACACCTCTGGAATACGATTGTATCAATTTCGTGCTGTATTATCGACCACGGATCACTCCAACGACCCTAACGACTTTACCATTTCACAATCAAAATCACCATTTTAGCATTTGACGTTTCACGTCGTCTTTGATCCAATCTAAAATCCCTCAAATTTATCCTGCGCACCACGCATGGTTATTTAGGGATCCGTGGTTCAGGTGGCGAGGAGTCACCACGGATCGCTAATGAGGCCGAGGACATACACAGTAAAAACAGTTTGTTCAGAAAATTAAAAGTTATAGGTTACAAGTTAACGTTAATTCTTCAGTGATGAAGTTATAGGTTACAAGTTAACGTTAATTCTTCAGTGATGAAGTCAGTGGTAGTCAATCTAATATTTATTTGTTATAGCTAGGGATTGAATGCATGTCTTCTTTTAATCAACCTTTAATCATTACCGACTTATTGAACGTCGTGCAAATTGTAACCTTTGCTGTTGCTGAACTCTGCGAACGTCCTCTTGAAAGCATTTGCTGTTTCTTAATATGGTGGTGTTACATGTGTGATCTCATTGATGACAGTAGAGGGTCTTCATTTGTAAGGAACGTATATATGTAAGGCTACGTAATGGTGATCTGCAAATACTATCTACAGGGTACCTGCAAATTTGGCAGTAACTGCAGGTTTGAACACAGACGTTCCGATTATTCAGCTTCTGGGGGAGGGAGATTTGGAGCACAGCAGTTTACGCCGAATAATTATTATAATCATGGAAGAAATCCTGGAGCATACAGAGTTGGAAACGCATCACACGATTTTGAAGAAATTGTGCAAATGGTCATGCAAGAAGTTGTTCAGAGCGAGAAGGGGAATCAGTGGCCATTGACCTGCTTTTCACCCATCAAAGAACGAGCTTGTTTTCCTGGATGGGTGGACTATTCTCCAGAAGAAATTCGGTGGAAAATGTATGAGGCTGCCCAGAATGGCACACTTCCTGAATGCCAGAGACAGGTTGCAGAATTGTATGATGCGGCTAGACTCCGAAGACAATCTATATTGAATCCAAATAGTGAAGTATGTAACATAATTCAGAAGATATTACGTGGAGAAAAGATTGAGACAGAGACAAGCTTTTCTTTTTTACAAGCTGCAACACAAGTGAGCAACAGAAATTTAGCATCATGGAGCTCATCAAATTATGGAAACAGTCAGCAACAAAATCCCGTTTCCAGTAACTTTGTCTTTTCACTACCACAGTTAGGAGGTTCATCTGAACATACTGCAGTTCAGCAACAGCCCAGTGGGTTTTATAGCAATGTACAAGTTACTCCTAATATTGGGATACATTCATCTAGTATATTTAGCAGTTCATCTGATGTACAGGTGCCCCTTGGTACTGTTGCACAAGATTCTTCAAGTTTTCAGACAGAGTGGCCCTCAGGTTCTGTACTTCATGGAAGTGGGAGTGATTTCAGTTCTTCTGTTACTTGGAATAAAACAGAAAATACAACTGCAGATAATTCTTTGTATTCATCACAAGCTGAACTCTCTGAAGATGAACTGAATGCATATATTGCTCAGACATTTACAATTGGAAAAGTACCAACAAAACCACCACCCAAAGAATTGTGTGCTTTGTAGAATTGCCTTATATGGGAAGAATTGAAATATGTTGTAGTGTGTAGAGCCATTACTATGTAATGACCGCAAGATAAGCCGTTCGTAGGCAAGAGATCTGGAAACATGTTCCGGAAGCAACAGACTTGACCGCAGTGATGGTACAGCAACAGAGGAATGGCGTTTTCTATGTGATCCATGCTGAGGTGTCAACTGGAGTGGTTTGGGTTTTACTAGTTAGTTGCAAGGGTGCTCAATTGAAAATCTGGCTGAGAAGAGAAGACTATATGTGAGATATTTGCTGTGTGTAACTCAGTGAGACCATTCATTCATTCATTCATTCCTTCTTTTATTAATCCTGTAGATCAATATAATGATATGGGACAAGTCTTTCAGCTAATATACATTATTAAATTACAACAATCTTAATACTGAAAAGTTATATAAGATATACAACATTTTATATGCTATATACTCGTACTATATACTTCTGCTTATATCAGTAGCCAATAATCGAGAATTCATCGTTCAAATAGTCCTCCGTTGAGTAACAGCGCCTCTGAATAAGTAGCTTCTTCAGTTCCCTTGTGAACTGAATTTTGTTTTCTATTTCATTTATGTTGTTAGGCAGTTTGTTTTAGAAGATACAGCCAGCTACTGAAGGATTACTATTATAAAGTTCTAAGTTGTGCCCATGTATATGATAGTCTTTATTATTTCTTGTGTTATATGTATGTATTTGTTGATTCACTGTGCAGTTACACTTTTTTTTACATGTAGGATTGTTTCTTGTATATATAGCGAGTATACTGTTAGTATCTTTAGATTTCTAAAGCTATCTCTGCACGATTCCAGATGTTTTAGCCCTGCAATGTATCTTACTGCCCTTTTTTGGAGTACAAAAATTCTTCTAGTGAGGGTCTTAGCACCATGTCCCCATACTATTGTTCCATAAGATAGATGAGGATAGATCAAACCATAATACAACTTTCTTCTTTCATTTAAATTGGGTATTTTAGATAGCCTGTTAATTATGAACAGATTACGGCTAATTCTACTGTAGGCTTTTTCAATATGTAATTCCCAACTCAAGGTACTATCTATTACTATCCCCAGACAGTTTATGCTTTTTACATTTGATATTTCCCTGTTCTTTATTAGTGTTTTTAGATTACTTTCCTGCCTGCATTGTTTTGTCTGGAAGAGAATATAGTGAGTTTTAGATGGATTTATAAATAAATTATTTGTCTCAAAGTATTGCTCTACCACTCCTATATTATTTGAAGTCTTGTTTTGGAGCTCATTCATATCTTGTCCTACATTCAGTATTGATGTGTCATCAGCATACATTACTGATCTGCCTTGTGTTAGATGTGGGATATCGTTTATATACAAGATGAAGAGTAATGGGCCAAGGACCGATCCCTGGGCGACTCCGTATCTGACTGGGAGGCTACTCGACAAATATTCTTTCATGTGATTGCCTTCTGTGTGTGTTACTTTTACGTGTTGAGTTATATTTCTGAGATAGGATTTGATTAGCTTATGAGGTATACCATGAACTCCATATTTGTATAATTTATCCATGAGAATGTTATGTTTAATACAGTCAAAGGCTTTTGATAAGTCTAATAGTACACAGTTGCATTTTATTGTATCGTTCAAACTTTCTATTATGTTTTCAATAATTGTGGCAATTGCATCGCTACTAGATTTATTTTTCCTAAATCCAGTCCGAGATTTATTAAGTATATTGTGTTTTTCTAAAAATGCTATTAATTGGTTAACTACTACTGTTTCCAGAATTTTTGAAAGGGCAGGTACAAGAGTAATTGGACGATAGTTATTTGCATCTTCTTCTATCCCGTTTTTGTAGATTGGTTTGACTACTGATTTTTTTTAGTTTAGAAGGGAAGATGCCATCTCTGACTGGTGCATTGACCAATTCTAAGAGTGGCTTTATTATGTAAGGTGTACATTTAGCAGATATGGTGAGATGTGATGAAGTCCTGCTGATTTTTTATTCTTCATGCCCTGAATTACTTTAATCAATTAAGTCTCTGTTATTTCTAATAGGACAAGTGAATCTTTTATGCTTACTAGTTTACTAGTTTCTGGATGTAATAAATTTTTTTCAAGTATAAGTTTATTTACAGATTCTATGAAGGTTTTGTTAAATATGTTACATGTTCTACTTGGACTTGAGGTATTACATTATATTCCTTTTTATATGCTTTATAGATGTCTCTATGTTCCTGAGGCTTACTTTGCATATAAGGGTTGTACAGATCCTTTAGTTTTGTTCTTGCTATTATAGCATCTTTTTTTATCCAGGGATTTTTGAAGCACTTATGGTATTTCTCCTCAGTTTTGGACAGGTTATATTAAAATAGTAGTTAAAAATGCTATAAAAAGAGTCCAATTTTTTTTCTACCTCATTTTCCCTGGACACTTCAATCCAAGTTTCAGTTTGTATTGAAGAGCGTAGACCTATTATATTGGCTTCTAATATATTCCTGACCTCTAACATCTTGTTTTTTGTGGTACAGACATATTAATAGTTATACATTGTGCAAAATAATCTGAAAGTAGGCCGTTTATTACTTCAGTATGATAGTATTTAGCCGGTACATTATTTATGATATGATCTATAGTTGTAGCCGTACTTTCAGTTACTCGTGTAGGTGTATTGTCAGATTATAAGGGTCATTCCATGTGAAGTCATTCAGAGGTCGCTCACCATTTTTAAAAAAATTCCAATTTTGTACACTTATTTCTACATATTTTCACACATCAAAAATATGTTTTAAAAAAATTGTAATCCGCTCGGTTCTCCCGGTACAGCCGTTTTTATAATGCGAAAAAACGAGTTTTCGGCTCAAATGGAGGTTTGCGTTATCTTCTGTATCTCGATAACTATTGAAGTTAGAGACTCCAATGAAACTCCAATTTGTTCCTCATGATATGGACAACAAATCATATCATTACAAGATTTTACTCAACTCACTTCCTCTAGGTGTAATTAAGCTTGAAACGTACCTATCGATTTTGGGAAGAACGCTATTTTTGACCTTCAGAAACCAATTGGAGGGGGAAAGTATTAGATCTGTGGTTTCTACCCTTTGTTTTCTCCTACATGAAGAATATAATCACATAATTTTGAACACCGTACCTGTTTTCCAGGAGCTTCCAAACTTTGCTCTGGGCCCAAAATCGGCCATTTTTAACATCTCGTAACTCCGGTGGAGAAGCTCCGAAAAATTTGAAATTCATACAAAATAATGCACTCTTCTAGAGTAACTTGGAATTAAAATTCCAACGTTGATATTCAACTAATAGCGAAGTTGTGGGCACTTTGAATTTTACAGATTTTGCAAAAAATTGTTCGTTTCTCATTCAAGACGAGATTCAAAGTTTCCGCTGGGTAAATCAACAGGCTACACTTCACCCTTTTGTGTGTTACTACAAGGCGGATACTATAACAAAATGCCCAAGCTTGTGTATAATCAGTGATCATGTAAAGCACGATAGAGCCACAGTTTGTGTGTTCCAAAAATGTCTTATCGCCGATATAAAAGAAAGTGTGCCTTCAGTCAGGAAAGTTATTTATTTCAGTGATGGCGCTGGAAGCCAATATAAAAACAAAGTGAATCATTCCAATATATGTTATCACTATGAAGACTTCGGACTTGAAGCAGAATGGAACTTCTTTGCCACCTCGCACGGGAAGAATGCCTGTGACGGTATTGGCAGCACCACGAAGAGGCAAGCAACGAAAGCCAGTCTTCAGAGAACTCATTTTAATCAAATCATGTGCCCGCTAGAACTGTAAATATTCTGCACACAAAATATCCCAGGGATAGTTTACTTTTTTGTGCCAAAAGAGGAAGTTGTAAGAAATGAAATCATTCTAAAAAGCATGTTCCAAAAGCGCAAAACTGTGCTCCACGCAAGAGAAAAACACCGGGTCGTCCATCTGGAGGAAAACACGGTCAGGTGTTATAAAACATCCAAGTCCGATAATTTGGAAGACATCGTGATAATGGACACTTACTGAACTACATGTACTTTCAAACAAACTGGAAAATATTCATGGGAGTACACAAAGAACTAATACCATTGGATGCAGGTAAGCCAATTGTTGAGGTATTCATTTTTTTTTTTGATAAAATTCAAAGTGCCCACAACTTCGCTATTAGTTGAATATCAAAGTTTGAATTTTAACTTCAAGTTACTCTAGAATAGTGCATTATTTGCTATGAATTTCAAAATTTTCGGAGCTTCTCCACAGGAGATATGAGATGTTAAAAATGGCCGATTTCGGGCCCAGAGCAAAGTTTGAAAACTCATGGAAAATTCTGGAAACTAGGTACGAGGTTCAGCCTACGTGATTATATCCCCCACATAGGATACAACAAAGGGTGGAAACCACAAGTCTGATACTTTCACCCTTACATTGGTTTTTGAAGGTGAAAAATAGCCTTCTTCCCAAAATCGATAGGTAAGTTTCGAGCTTAATTAGACCTAGAGGAAGTGAGTTGAGTGAAACCTTGTAAGGATATGATTTATAGTCCATATCATGAGGAACAAATTGGTTTCTTATTGGAGTCTCTTGCTTCAATAGTTATCGGGATATGGGAGATAACGCAAACCTCCATTTCAGGCAAAAACGCGTTTTTTCACATTATAGAAACTTCGCTATTAGTTGGATATCGAAGTTGTAATTTTAACTCCACGTTACTCTGGAATAGAGCATTATTTATTATGATTTTAAAATTTTTCGGAGCTTCCCCACCGGAGATATGAGACATTAAAAATGGCCGATTTTGGGCCCAGAGCAAAGTTTGGAAGCTCCTGGAAAATAGGTTCGGTGTTCAAAACTATGTGATTATATTCTTCATATAGGAGAAAACAAAGGGTAGAAACCACAGATCTGATACTTTCCCCCTCCAGTTTGTTTCTGAAGGTCAAAAATAGCGTTTTTCCCAAAATCGATAGGTAAGTTTCAAGCTTATCTACTAGGTGTACTAGAGGAAGTGAGTTGAGTAAAACCTTGTTATAATATGATTTGTTTCCCATATCATGAGGAAAAAACTGGTTTTCCATTGGACTATCTAGCTTAAATAATTATCGAGATATGGTAGATAATGCAAACCTCCATTTGAGCCGAAAACACTTTTTTTCGCATTATAAAAATGGCTATAGCGGGAGAACCGAGCGGATTACAATTTTTTTAAAAATGTTTTTGAGGTGTAAAAATATGTAGAAAAATAAGTGTACAAAATTGGAATTTTTTTAAAAATGGTGAGCGACCTCTCTGGATGACTTCACCCAGAAGCTTTTGTAACATCTAATAATTTTTTGTGACTACTTCGACCTTCTTGGATGTTTATATTTAAGTCTGCTACTAAAATGATATATTGGTCTTTCTGGATTAGTTCCTCCAGAATATCTATTAGATGGATAAAAAATTAGTTTAGTCCACCACTTGGTGATCTATATAATGCAACGATTGTTATTTTTTTCTTTTCACAGTTAGTTCATACCAGTAACCTCAAAAGTTTTTTCTATACTTTTTTCTGTAACTCATTTCAGAGGTTTATGTTGTATGTTCCTAGAACTGTAAATAGCTATCACACCCCCTTTTTGATCTTTTCTGCTGAAGTGTGAGGCTACAGTATATCCTTCTAATATACATTGAGTAATTTCATCATCTTTAAGACCATGTTCAGAAATTGCCAATATATCTGGGGTGGTACTTTGAAGGAATGCTGTGAATAGTTCAGTTTT